TAAATATATATAAACGATGCTCTCTCTCTCTCTCTCTCTCTCTCTCTCTCTCTCTCTCTCTCTCTCTCTCTCTCTCTCTCTATTAGGCAAGCCCGAATTTATAAATGTAATTTCATATGTAAGATCAAATTAAACTTTCAGGAGCTGTATTATAAGTTATAAAAAAACATGACGATTTCGATCTATTTGCTTCAATATTATTGATCAAGACTCGTGACAGTGTATATAAAATCTCATATAATATCTAAAAAACTGTAAATTTAATTTAAAAATCAATGAAAATTGTAAACAAACAAAATGAATAAATATTTTGTAATGATTTAGGGTAATAATGGATATGATGGCTTTGTTAGTAAAATTACAAAATAAATTAAAACAATATTGGAATCACAAGGATGAGATTGATTAAAATATAAAAAGGATATGTTGCGATTAATGCATTATGCACTTTTATTATGCGTGAGCCATAAAGTATATATATATATAAAAGTGATATATACGTAAATAAATAAATAAATAAATATATATATATATATATATATATATATTTATATATAATTATTACAAACAATTGTGTTTTTGCATCTATAGTTAAAAAGCTTTCTATTCTTAAGCTTAAAATGGATTTTAGCGTACTACTTATTTATACATAAAAATGAATTTCAACATATTAAAAAGGCTTTTCTATCATACAGTTACGAAATTTTGATATTACAGAAGCCAATAAATTATAAAGAAAGTGTTAAAAGTTATTATTGTAAAGATCAAAAGATGAAATGCTTAATATTTCAAAATCAAATACAATATTAAATTCTATGTTTTTAGAAATGAAACTTTTATTTTACGTTAGTGGTGGATATGAGCCATTAATAACATATAAAATGTGGATTAAATATTTATCCACTTACTATTGTAACAAATGACAAAACGAACTCATTTCCTATCAATTCAAACAATTAATATAAGAGAATTGTACATCTTTTTTTTAAACATGCAACACATTTGACCGATATCCTGTACAAAAAATTAAACAATCGTTAGAGTTGGCTACACATAAGCACATAATACTCATTTGTTGGATTAAAATTAGATAATGAACATCGCACCATAGAGATTGTTTTGGTTAGTCGATAAAGTAATTAAGAAGAAGTATTACCCTGTTCCAAGAGCCAATATCGTAGCTCCCTGTACCAAAGTCATGTCGTCTAATGGCGACCTACAGATCACATAATTTCACTAAAATGTCCTTTGATTTACTACCAATGTTAAGTAAGTTTAATAACATTAACAATACAATGTTTCATTTTTATTTTTAAAACCATTTAAATGCCATATATATGTATTTTAAAGTCTTCATTACATTAATTAAAACAGGTAATGATAATTTCAATGATTTCAAAATTGCGATAAAATAATAAAGTGAAAAATAAACTGAATGTAATTATAAGGTAACATAATTTTTTTATAAAACAATTTTTACAATTAAATTTGCTTATTACAATAGATAAATTTCTCTAAATAAATTAAATTTAAAAATATCGTACTCCATTTGTATAATTTCTATTGGTTAGTAATTTTTATTAGTAAAGCATATTTTTGCTCAATTGAGTAATTAAATTAATGTTAAATTCAGAAAAATTTAATAAAAATGTCAAAAAAAAAAAAAAAAAAAAAAAAAGGGGGTGGGGTGGGGCGGGAGAGAAAAGAAATTTCACGCCTTTACAAATATTAGTTGTTACGTTACCCAAGCGATGAAAAAATAAAATTCTAAATATATTTTCTTATCATTTATTTTACTTACAAAAACAGTCTGCAGGAATGATAATCAATACTATATAATTTATGTCGTCGATTTCTTAAAATTATAAGATATGTATACAAGAATTGTTTTTTAATTTTCTTTATATTAATTATTATTATAATTTAGTTAATTCCATTATTTGCTTCACTTTTCTCTCTACTTATTGTCAATTTTAAATGGTATTTAAAAACAATAAATTTTTAGTAATTATGTATTTCAATTATAGTAATATTATCGGTCTAACCTCTTGAAGTTTACAACTTTTTTTCGTTAGTTAGCATTAACGACATTAATTTATTTACAGCAATTTTATAAAATGAACAAAGGAGATTTGTTGTAGGTTCATTTAATTATTATTCAAATATTATAGAAACTAGAAAATTTATATTTATAAAAAAAAAATTTATTTATTCATACAAATGCATCTGTATTTATCAAAAAATAATATTCCCTAAACTTCAAAAGGTTATCATTATTGCTCGCTTAAAAATTCTATTTATCTTGACATTAATTTGCTCAAGTTTTGAACGTGATTAAATTATAGTTTCATAGAACAACTAAAACGATATTAATTGTTAACAGAAACATTGAGTCTACTTCGTATAAAGTGTAGTTGCAATCAATTCAATAATTTTTCCTAACAAGTTTTTCCCAAAAAAAAAAAAACCCCTTTTTTTTTTTTTTTTTTTTTTTTTAAATTATACAATTTCTCCCTACTGTTATAATTTAGAGAATAAATTTCTTGATAACGAATAAATAATTAAGTTAAAATTGTGTCGTTGAAATAAGCATTTACGCATTTACGCAGTAATTCCTCGTTAGAAAAATACACAAAAATAACTTTGACGAATATACGACGCATAAAAAGTTTTGAACTGCATTCAATAATTATGAGTCGTAAAACAATTACATTCCATTGGCTAATTCAATGTTTCAATATTGTCAGTAAGCATAAAGACTAGATAAAATAAATATAATTTTACTTGTCGAGACTGGACTCTGGAAAAATGTTTTGTCATTTGCTCGCAAAAAATGTTGGAAGTAAGTATTTCCAGAAAGGGATCGATATAGTTATCGATATTGATATATTATGATAAAATATTACAGAAATAATTACTTCACGTATTTGCGATTTTACGTACATATATTTAGTAAATTCAGTAATTGCACACTAATAAAATATCATTATGTCGACATATAACCAATCCCCTTCAACCTTTATAATGAACTAAAGTTATAAATAAAAATTGTTCTATAATATAAGAATGTTGTTTAATTTAATTACAATAAATCGTAATTTAATCTTATATTAAATATAAGCACATCACAGCATCCGATTGAGGATATATTCAATCATTGATATAAGTGAAAATAATATTAACAATAATTCAATATACTGATTAAAAACAATCGAACTTACTTACAGATAATCAGATTATTTAGACAAGCTTTCTTTACATTAATGTATTCAACATTTCTTATATACTCAGACAAAATTCTAGCAATAGTCAACTCCATAATATCACTCGAGTCTTTTTCGTCGTAAGTACAAATACCATATAGAGGCACGTGTTATATTTATGTAAATACATGTTAATAATTAAGTAACAATCAAAGAGATAATAAACGTTGGCCTATCACATATTGCGTTACTTTAATAATACGTGCACTTTGTAGTTGGACTTTTTTTTTCGACTGTAATTTTCGCATATTCCGAATAGTTTTGCTCATTTGGAGCTTTAATTAATCAATGTTTTATGGTGGTTTTGAAAAATATACAACTATAATTCAATTGATATTTTATTTAAAAAAAAATTTTCTACTACTTTCATAACATTATACAACTCTAAAATAATTTTGATTAATGATTAAATGTTTGTTATCCGAGACAAAAACCATTGTTTTATCACTAACTGCACCCTCATTTACGAGTTTAATACCGCAACATTATTTTAATACTATTTTTTATAACCGATAGTCAATTCATTAAAAGTTTAAGCTACATGATAATACAATTCAATGACAAACTTATTAAAACTATGAACAATGATTACAATGATTACAATGAAAAGTATAATTCAATATTACAAAGTTACAATATTACTTGTCAATCTTCCGAAATTCATAATAAAAATTTTTCAATAACGTTGACACAATAATATCAGGAATTTATGAAAACTAATAAAGAAATTGAAAAGTATATTAACAAATATATCACAAATGCCTTATTTCCTTAAAACCATTTCGTTAAAATTGTTTTTTGTACACGCGCGTGCGCAACTGAGAAAGCACCAAGCGAATATTATTCTCGTAACTTACAAATACAGTATTGAATATAACTTATTTCCTGTCTAATTAAAGAACGTCAGGTGCCTGTCAATTATCGACGAATGAATTATGACTTGCTCATAATAATTAATTAATTTTATAAAACTTGTAAGTAATTACTATAATTGATATGGAACTAGTGGCTTTCTGACACTTTCTTCCGATAATAAATATATCTATTTTATAATACAAATTGTATAATCAATTATCAATAGTGCTTAATAAAAGGTGCTTGTGTGAATGTAAAGTGT